CATTTTCAGATTATGCTGAAGGAGCAGCTCCTACTGGGATGTGTTCTTCTCATGGCACAACAAAAAGAGTTCTCGGCAACTGGCAATGTCCTAAAGCCTCTAGCTTTAAAGTGAAAGATCTTTTGCTCCAATGCCATTGGTTCCCACGAGCCAGATGGCCAAGACTTAAGTAATCTGAAAACCTACTTTATCCACTCAGAGGCATGGTAAACTACACGGCAAGTGGATGGGAGAGGAGATATGTAATTATTAGAGAAGGGAGAGTATGATTAGGAATAATAACACAATCTACTGTAGAGAATATTCTAACTTACCCACATATGTATGTTTAAATATATTTTTGTGACTTTAATAAAAGTATAAGATCATTGAGCAAGGTCATACCATTCTTAATATCACCTTCCTTGTTATTTAAGTATGAGGAGACAGGTGGTAGATCTATCATTAATGAAGCATTTAGAGGAAGTATTCAAGGATGACTACTTCAAGCAATAATTTGAAGACATCCTGCAAAATGTCATAAAATATGTATCTTCTAATAAAACAAAACAAAATTAAAAATCTTGTAGCTAATGGATTTTGAATCTCACATTGTGATTCATATTTGTTGTTTTGTTTTATCTATATCAAGCAATTTACTTTTAAAGGTCCCATGACCAGAATATCAGGGCTTATTCCCAGCTATTTGTGCCCATACATATCACAAATATACACAGTAATACCTCATGTAAATAAACCTTAAAACTTAGCCAACCACTTCCCATAAAGTAGTGCAGTTAATTGATGAACATAGTGAGGGTAATGATTTGGCATTTAAAATCTGAATCATATTTTATTTGAGAATTGATAGTTTAACTTTATTAGAGATAGATAACCAAAATATATGTGCTAAGGTAGTAACTTCATTTTGTACTTTTTAATGAAGGAATTTCTAAAGCCATAAACAATTATCTCTTTGCCACTGAAAACGCTGCCTAATGATCTGGCCTCCTGGAAATTTCACCAATTTTTCTGGAAATTCGAACACCTCCTGCCTGATCAAACTGTACAGGAATTGTAACATTTCTTAAAAAGTATCTTATTAATCCTAATAAATACTAATTTTCATAAGCATTATTTCATGGAAGTTTATATTCATTGGGTTTACCTTTTTAAAAGCTACTCATTTGTAATGTTAGTGTTCTTTTGTTATGTAACAAATTATTACAAATTTAGCTATTTTGAGCCATACAAATTTATTGTCTCACATTTTCCTTGGGTCAGGAATCTAAGTACAGATTAAGTTGGCTCTTGTGCTAAGAGGGTCACCAGGGTGGAATCAAGATGGCAGCCAGGAACTGCAATCCTGGCCATTGGCAGAATCCAGTCTCTTGAGGCTGTAGGGATGGAAGTCTCCATTTTCTAGCTTATTGGTGGTCAGGAACACTCTCGACTCCTAGAAGCTCTCCTGAGGACCTTACCAATCTCCCACCAGCCCCTTAAGGCAGTTCACAACATGGTAGTTTGTTTCTTCAAAGACAGCAGGATCTACTGTTTGATTCTTTGTCTTAAGGGTTTGACTGATTATATCAGAATCACTCAGGAAAATCTCCCTTTTCATTAATTCAAAGTCAACTTATTAAGGAGTTTATTTATATATACAGAATTCTTTTTGCAGTATATGGTCACATAATCACAGGAATGATAGTCCATCATATTCACAGGTCCTTCCCACAATCAAGGGGAGGGGATGGAATCCTCAGGGTCATTTTAGAATTCTGCCTACTACACACAGTTACACTTTTTTGGTTGTTGTTGTTGCTTGGACAACTGGCCCTGCTGACTCACTCAACAATCTAAAATTGTAGAAATGAAATTTCAATCCACACAATTCATTAGAAGTACAACTTGACAGTCCATACAGCTAGAAGGTCCTTAAAAAAAAAATGTTCACAATATATACCATGCTGAAAAACCTTTATAATTAAAAACTCACTTCACATAAACACATATTTAAATCTAAAATAATTTTATTATAAACAGTGAGTGAATCAGAGAGGTTTAAAGGGGAAGTAGGATGGGTTCTTTAATCATTTTACTCTCACAAGTTTCTCTAATTCAATCCTTCCCTTTCACTTACTCCCTTTTCTCTAGGGATGACCCTGGGCAAACATCAACACGGAGAATCTCTACTAGCAATTTTATTAATTAGTAAAAACCATAATCCTAGGGTACTCTGGGTTCCTAAAAATTGTGAACTACATTTTTAGTGAACAAGCAAACAAATCAATGAGAGTGAGAAAGAGAAAGGGAGAATATTGGCTGGCAACCCTAAATTTATCCCAACCCAATATAAGTCCTGAAATTTGTATTTTAAACTGAATGCTCAGTAAATTTCAAAAGTTGCATTTATTTCCCTTTGTTTTAAATTCTTAAGGCAGCCTTTATATATTCAAAAAATATGTATATATCTGAACTATTTTTTTTTCTTTCATTAGATGTGTATAATAAATTGAATATATGAGGATGGAAGTTGATAAATGTTAAATGATGAAGGAAATTATTACCTTTAAACGTAAGTAGAAAAATCCAAAGGCTAATAAGGGCTTAAAAACCTGGACACCATTGGTGTTGCCATTTATTAGTAAAAAACATATATCTAATTTCATCATGGTATACATTACAGTATAAATATTTAATTGTTGATCAAAACCACTCAAGGGAGAAATGGGTTTTTAGGTACATTCTTCAGGCAGATATAAAGAAGTGCTCAATTACCCAATTCAGTTAGAACTTGAAATCTGAACACTTTTGAAATTCATGGCCAATTTGAATGGATTGACACTAACCTTCTTATTATTCTGTAATACTTTTTTTATTGTTTATAAACTCCCTTTACTGTTATATATTTTATCCTATCATGAAATAATGATTCAGATTTGAAAATATGGAGATGTAAACTATAAACAATTAGCTTTACCATACTGGATAAGATAAACCTATATATATGTATATATATGAATATGAACAGAGATTATTAATCAAAATATAACTTAAAAATATAAGACCATTCTACCTACCAGACTGGCAAAACTATGAAAAATGTTTGGAAAAATGCACTGAAATTTCACTGTAACACTTTAATCCTAAGAAAAATTTAACAAAAAGCAGACTACCATTCATTTTACCAGAGAAGTTTAAAAGGTAAAGATAATAAAAGGATCTCAATTCTAAGGTGATCTCTTGCTCTGAGCCCTTGAGGACTGTATTACAAAAAGATTTCACAGTATCCCTTTAACCATCAATAAAATGAACAGATATTCAGAAATTTAGGAATTTATTCATAATTCTGAAAGTATCTTTGTCCGCTCTTCCTACAAGCCATTTATACATCATTCTACCATTTAAGTTAAGAGAAAAAAATTAAGACAGTACAAAACATAAAATCATCTTAAAAATTTTTTTTATTCTACAAATTTACTTTAGCATAATCGATCTTTTGGGGTGTTCAGTTCAAGAAATTGTAACATGTGTATAAATTCGTGTAACCACCATAATGATCAGGCTTCAGAATAGTTCCATCGCCACCCAAAAAACTTACTGGGCTATTTTTTTTAATCACGGCATGCCCTGACCCCTGGAAAATACTGATCTGTACTCCTCACTAGGGCTTTGTCTTTTCCATAATGTCACATACATAAAATACACAGTAGGTGACCTTTAAACGAAATGTGGAATGTTGGATAGGTACAAACAAGAGTAACCACCCCCCCCAAAAAAAATCTTTATAATATCACAGAGCTTTTTTTAAAAAAAACTTTGTGGAAATGGAGCTTAGAATTCCTCTCGCAGGCTTAGAACCGAAGATGAAACTAGTCCTATAATATATGAGGTCAGAATGGAAGGATGGAAATGATGCCTTCTGTTACCAGACTAAGACAAGAAAATGTAAAGCTGTCCTCAAATTCACCTCTCAGGAATATTTATCTTTTAGATATGTCCTACAACTTTGGAATTTATTTTAAGCTGGCTGTACGCATTTCCCCCTTTGGAACACGGGGCACAGTATATCCACCTGTTAGGGTCAATTAATTTGTGAAAGAGCTCCAACAGCTTTGAGCAAAAGCTCTTTTCCATTTATTAAGGCATCAGAGAGTTGCCATATGTTAATTGCTAATCCATTTCTCACTTTGAATAGTGAGACAACAAAAAGACATTTTTTGCGCAGCGTATTAAATTATTTTTTAAAATAGCAATGGATATTGCTCTATCCATGTGGGATAAACTTTTCCCTAAGAATTTCTCTCTTATTTCTGAACTTGTTTTCTCTATTCCAGTTTTTGGAGACAAAAATATGGACAAAGTTAAAAAATTCTTTTAGGGGTACCTGACTGGCTCAGTCAGTGGAGCATGAGACTCTTGATTTCCAGGTCATGAGTTCAGGCCCCACATTGGGCCTAGAGCTTATTTTAAAACAAGAATGGGAGGGGTCTTTCAAATGATTTTGATTCATCTTTACAAATCGGTTGAAGTCATGAGTATAATAATTTATAATAAGGAACAACTCCAGGGGTGCCTGGGTGGCTCAGTTGGTTAAGCGTCTGACTTCTGCTTATGTCATGATCTCACGGTTCATGGGTTCGAGCCCTACATCATGCTTCTGATTCTGTGACTCCCTTTCTCTCTTCCTGTCCCCTGCTCATGTGCTGTCTCTCAAAAATAAATAAATGGGGGGGGAAAAAAAGAACAACTCCCTAAATATTGGCTTATGATGAAAATCACATAACTTTGTATCAATTAAGATATTGTTTTGTTAGCTAGACCTTTCAAATAGCAAATTATTGGAGCAGACAACATTAAATAAAATCATTGCAACTAGCTGGAGCTGAAGAAGCTTCCACATTCTCACTTGAATTCACGGTATTTTATTGGTTGTTGGATGGTTTCAATGACCTCTTCGAACTCCATAAAAAAGTAAAGGAGAACATTTCCAAAGTGTTTAATTATCTACATAAGGATCTCTATCCATTACAGATGTATGTTTAAAATAATTCAAGGATTAAAAAAAAGGAATACAGATTTATTTGAATCTATACTTCCTATTATCTTCCCATTCCTTAATATAATATAGAATTTCAAAATCCATCAGTCATTATATTTATAAGATGGCGAGAATATCCTGATTCACATACTAAACTTCACTATCTTAGAAGGTTGCAAAGTCTTAACAATGAAAAGTCAATAAATAATAAAATAACAAAGGCTTGTCGAAATACTGTTTTTTGTTCACTGCAGATTAGAGAGCTGTCACAGAAAATTACACAAAGATAAAATCTGGTCCGCAATCTGCAAGGCCTTAGGAAACAGCTATTTTCCAAATAAATCTCAAAATATTATTTTTATTTTGTTCTTGAGCACTTCACACTCATGCTGCAGCTGGTTCATTTCTCCACTGAGGACAGTTAGACAATTCCTGTATTTTCCTCTATTGTATATTCTATTCCATAAACTACTTAAGAAGTCATTGGCCTCGACGAACAACAAACATTTATTGAGCCTCAACTATGTGTTAGGTACTTTATTAGTCACACGGCTTAGAACAGAGAGTCACTTCAAAGCAAACATACCCAGTTAGATTTCCTACTTCCTATCTTTCTGAGGACTGTATCTAACCAACCACTTGGAGCAGTCATTCACAAGAAAAAATTTGTTGTTCATCAGTTGATGAATTTTGTGCTCCTGAAAATATGATATAGAAGAGTCAGCATTGCATCTGGGGAGTAGCTAAGGATTAGTCATCTGAGTAAGCAAATAAGGAGAGGACAGGAGTAAGGGCTCTGGCTAGGAGTTTATGGGTCAGAAAGGGAACTTGGTGTGGAATGAGAGTATAACGAAAGAGGACTTGATGTGATCTGGTGGAGAGAAAAGAGGGACCAATGCTATGCAAAAACGTGGAGTGGTGAAGATTTACTATGTGCCACTCATTTTGTATTTTCTTTGGCTCTGTGGACACAACAGTTCCTTTTTACTTACCTCATATAACTAATATTTCTCTATCCACCCACCAACAAAATTTGTTCTTAAAAAAATATAACTTCCTTTGCTTCAAATTCTACCTCATTTGTCAAATGCTGGAAAAGAGTCAGCTAAAGATAAGACTCAATGCATTATATATACAGCACCCATAGATCCTGCCACCTTAAGGTCAGCCTTTGCCCTTCCCTTAAAGAAAAAAAAATAGTGTTTAACCCCACTCTGGACGTCCCATTCTCCTTTTGAGGATTTAGAATACCAGAAGAGAAACTAAGCAAGAGCCACCTTCTTCAGGGGAAAAAGGGAGAGAGTAAAATTTTAAATGTCTCGTTTTTCTTCTCTGGTTATTTCAGTTTTATCCTTGACTTATTTTTGGGTTTGGATCCTATTAATCTGTCTTTGCATTTAGTCGCTGTAAGCTCATAAAAGCAAATCACAGATGACAGCTAAGCAATGATTCAGAACCCACATCCTTCTCCAAACCCACCTAGCCTGCCTAATTGCACTACATACTCCTGCTTTCGAATTCCTGATTCCTTATGGTAACTTCAATAGTCTTCTTCCAACTTCACCCTCCCTCAGCTTGTACACCCACCCACCCAGCTTGTACTGGTTTCCTAATAGACTTCAGCATTTTAGATGCTGGTGAGTCTCTACTACCTTTGGCATTATCTGTGGGCAGCAAATGGTTAACTCATCAGTCTGAGTTACTTAGAAGTTGCACATTCCAAAACACAAAGGTCTGCCTTTAGATCTGGTCATGGGCAGCTCTTACAAGATAATCTCTGGACACACACACACACACACACACCAGTAAAAAAGTGCTTTTTATTAAAAGAAGCAGCAATATCCTTAACAGAGTGGCACTTAGGTTTTTTAAAATGAAATCTATGCCTCATTTTTGCTTTGTGTCCCACCCCCTCCTCCTTCCCCACCCAACTGTGGATCCATCTTTAGTTATAAAAGGTCACTTATTGTTGTACGATCATATGCTGCCCTGCCTCTATGTCTCTGGTCATTCTATTGCCTGTGTGTGGAAGATCTATCCTCCTCATTTCTAACTTTTGAAGCCTTACCCTTCAAGACTCAGTTCAAATATAACTTTTTTGATGACACGTGTCACGATCCACCAGTCAGAATCAGTTGTTCACTTTGTGCTGCTTCAGGCGTTCAGCTCACACTTTTATTACGAATTCACATTCTTAGGATTGTTGTTTGTATCTCTGTCCATCAGCTGATTAAAGAACAGGAAAACAAGTGTTTAAATTGTTTTTATATCCTCTAATTTGTGGTGGTGCCCATGAGCAGGTGGGTTTGTAGCCCCCTCTATATCCTTTTCACTCCTCCCAATTCCAACCTATCAATTTATAATCTAAGTAAAAAGCATAATTGTTATCCAAAAACAGTGTCAACATGAGTCTTCTCATCTCACTTTCTCATCAGATTGCAACCAATATACACAAACCATATGAATTTTTTGGAATCACTTCTAATTCTAGTGCTTTGTTAACACAAGAAACAGTGTTTCAATTACATGTGATT